CCAGAGGATCGGAGCATTTCATGGATCCATGTGTAGGCTCTGACATCTTCTCACACTGAATCACTGTAGACAACAGGAAGAAAAACATCAGTCCATGACTCCATCACTGTGTAGGAAATAATAAAATTAACAAAAAGTAGTAGCAATATTATAAGTTATTAATACTTAAACTCACATTCACATGAAGGGTGCTTATCCGACCATTTTCCTGACCCCGAGCACCTCAGAGGAGTCTGCACACTCAGCTCGTATCCTTCCTCACAGGAATACTGACACAAGGAGTCGTAGGAGAAACTGCCATACTTGTGAGAGCAATTGACATGTCCTTTATCTGGAACAATCACCTCACCTTTGTTACACTGCACAACTGACAACAAATAAAACACACAGTTGGATATTAAATCCTTTACGTGACTTAAAATATGTATTTAAACTACGCTGTCAGATTTTTTCTCACCTTGGTCGCACTTGTGTCCAAAAAACCCTTCAAAGCAATCACATTTGTGGCTGTTGATGGTTTCAACACACTCTCCATGCAAACAGGAGTCAATCTTACAAGCCGCTGGAAAAAACAGAGGTACTTCTATAAAGGTTGGTAAATATACTAAAACAATATGTCAGAAAAATCTTTTTTAACTGTTAGATCACCTATTAAAGAACAGCAACACAGCAGCAAAAATTAGTTTTTCAAGATTTTTGCTCACCTGTGTAGCACAGAGCAGTCTTTCTTTTAACACATCTCTCGTCATTCCACTTGCCTGGTTCTTTATCTCTTTTAATGTACATCTCCACACAGTCCTCATGCATGCCTGTGTTTTTGTCACCCTCGTTATTGTTCGGTTCTCCTTCTGCCCAGTTTGTTGCTTCTTCTGTCAGAGGCTTGTTGGTTCCTACCCAGGTCCAGACGTTATTAATCCTACGAATCCCAATCCAGTAGTAGCCATTTTTCTTGGGCAGCCAGTTATTAAGATGCTCGAGCTCCTCGTGGTTCTGGATGGCCACCATGTCTGTGTAGTGCTCCTGGCACCAGCTTCGTGCATCATCCCATGTCATTGCGTTGTCCGAGTAGAAGTAAGACCAAGACTCTACACTAGTCCACATGCACAGCACTTAAATAGAGACAGTGACATATAGGAGATGTAAATGGGGAGAAAAGGAGAGATTTAAAAAAAATTCTATTTACTAATTTTCTCTCTAATGAGTGTTTTTAGTATTGGCTGCCTTTGTCCCACCTGTATATATTCTTCATCCTGTATAAATTTCTCCTATTTTTACTTTTTATATTTTATTCCTGCACACTTGGTGTGGAGCACCCACAATTTTGTCATACATGTACAGTGAACACAGGGCTATTCTATTCTATCTGGTTCTAAAACCTTTTAGTTTTAGTGTGCTTTTATTTTATTGTTGTTTTATCCTATTGTAAAGTGTCCTTGGGTGACTTGAAAGGCGCTCATAAATAAAATTTATTATTATTATTATTAGTGAGACACTCAAGGCTCTTCTGGCAATAAATTTACATACTTGAGCAAATAACGGCGAAGTTGATCCGTGAGGCAGAGCTCTTATATCCATGGGTTAGTCCAAAGAAGGAATCCTGTAAAAAATAATTTAAAGGTGCATT